ATTGAACTGCAACTGTTGCATCATCCAGACATTCCACGTAGTTTGCTGTGAGATTCAGGAAATGAGGTTTAAAAATGTGGTCATCCAAAGAAATTAGAGCAAAGAAGCCTGAAAAATTACAATTTCTTAAATTGCAGTCTAATAACGATAATTTTCTTGATGCAGATTGTGTATTCCGTTATCTTGTAACGCTGCATGAGAGATTTATATATTTAGAAATGAAATTGTTACCCAAACGGAAATTAGCTGTTGCCCTGTTGCTGTAAAGCTTGGCGTTCAGTCGTTTATCTTTGCAGTTGACTTGGAGTCCTTCCGTGTAGGAGTTTATCGCGTTATTAGCTTCTCCTCGTGTGTATTCTTTGTTACCTTCCTCGAGACATACTTTCGCAATCCCTGAAAACACACCATGTTAGTGTTAATGATTTAGTAATGAGTTACACGACCCTTGGCGGATGATGCCAACTTTTTACTTCCAAACGAACTGTTAGGTTAAAGGAGCTTAGAGCTATGAAAAAAAATCAGAAAAGTTTAGTATTTGTACATTTTGTTTAAGTAAAATGTTTAAGGTGTTGGGAGTCTGGGCTGTGTATTGACTATTACCAGTTCAAGTTTCTCGGTTTACATCTGGATCAAGAAGCTCTCCAAAAACCCTTTTACACCTGGTTTAAGTTTTCCAAAGTATCCCAAATTTCACCGGGAGATCCTATTTAAACTCAACTTCGTTTACAATCACACTTCAGTAGACTTTGTCTGTGTATTTTGTTTGCTTTAAAATATGCAAGCTATCTGGAGTTTAAGCCGTAGCTTGGCTATAACCAGATCAAGTTTGTTTGGTCTACATTGAGGTCGAAAGACTTTCCAAAATTCCTTTTACACCTGGGTTACGTTTTCCAAAATGTCAAATTGGAATATAAAACCCCATGAGTTATTGAGAAAAAAAATGTGTAAAGCAAAGCAAAGCCAGGACTGAAAAAGGTTAAAACTTGTGAATGTTCGGATAACAAAAGAAACGTCGTGCTAAGAGTGACAAGGGTTCGTCGTTTGCCCATCCTTCAGACAAGTGCGTCGGAAAAAACATGCTTTTTTCTTTTTTTCCTTTTTGGTTTATTACATACATGTAATTGTCTATTGAGAACATGCTTGTAGGGGCAAAAAATAGGAGACTCAGATGAAAGTAACTTAAAGAAGACGTTGTATACTTAATCATAGAGAGAATCTCAAAGTTTCCTCCGTCACGCTGGAAAAAATATTATTGGGAAAGTACTACTTTCCCGCGAATTTCTATTTTGCCTGTTGTGAAAGTCAGTGGTTCGGGTTCTGTTGGCTGGTGGTTTACAGCGTGAGCCTGGTGCTGACATAACTGTCCGAAAAGGTGTAAAATATTTAGAAGACCAATTCATTTTAGGTGAAAATTGTAGATACATCTTTAATCTCCAAAACACTGTGCGTTGATTTGTAGATAAGCATATATAAAAATAGGTATGCAAAGGCATACATGTGTCTAGTGCGAGCTAGTTGCTTACATGTACTTCTTTTTTTTGTGGCATACAGTTGTTACCTCTTTCGATCTATCCCAATCATAGCAGACGTTTTGGAGCTTAAATGGAAACTACATATTCTTGGAATAATTTAAATTTAAGCGTAAAAGCGACGGAATTAGTTTTGGGGTAACAAAAAATGCAATTCTCAAAAGCGTAGGGAAAGGCCCGAAAATGAAAACAGAACTTCCTAACTTCAAGTGAGACTGCGATATTTGACTATTTTTTGGACTGATAATTTTATTTTTTTAAGTGTTCATATGTTTTTAAGGTATTATTAAATCGAAGATTTTGTCTTTAAATTATTCAACTTCCAGAATCTTTAACACAACGCTATGGCCATGAACTTATGTAAACAACGATGGTGCATATATCGCCCAGGTCTTGTAAGTTCAAGAAATTCCTTGGTTTTTTCGTTTTTGAACGGTCTATCTAAGACTTTTTGGAATAAAGATATATTTCTTGCTTATTTTCCTTGAATTTTATCAATAGCTTTTGGTCCAGAGAAAATATTATAGGGTTTGTATTCACGTGAGTGTTAGTTTAGTTGCTGCTGTTACTTTCAATGTTCATCTGCTATCGTTAGGAGCTAGACAAAAGTAAGTCTTTCTTTATTTTACATTTACGATATTTCCCTCTCGGTCTGTATTGACTACATTGGTTTATTTCTCACACTCAGTTCTCTTTATAATCGTCTCATTGTTAGTTAGGTATGTGTTGCATTTCCCAGGGTACTTTCTTAGTTTATGTACTGCTGTACTTTTTTTTTTCAGTTGGGACCACACAAATTCAGCAACAATCTTTAATTATAATCTCGTAACCTTCAATCGCAACTTCCCCCTTTTCATCCGTATAATTCAACATGATTTCACACCGATTACTTGATTCTAATTTGTAATTTTGATTACCTACTGCATTTAATTAATCCTTGTTTCTACTGTGCATTCTAATTGTCTTCTCCC